CAGTTACAGTGTGCACTGTAGTCCACTGGTAACGAGAATGCTACATACCACCTGAAAATCGGTCTCAGTTTGAGTTCAATGGCTCTCATTTTCAGTACACAATATCACGTGATGCGGACTCAGCGACACTTCCCTGAGCACTGGGTGATCAGTATTGATTATTGGAACCTAGAAAGAATTAGCTTCGTTTGCTTAGAGAGCATACTGTTTCACAATAAACAACTCTGAATCGGTCGCGTCTGCACTAATAGGATACTAATTGCTTCATCACATTGTTCATCTGCTTATTAACACCACTTGGTTCAGTTTTTTCTCTTTTGTTCCTCTGGACATGCTATTTTCATGATACCTGGAAACCTCTGATTTAATATGTTGTCCGCCCGTTCCACCCCCTTCACGTCCATCTATCCAATAGGGTCGCGTCGTGGTAGATGACATACGGGAAAAATCAATTACAGGCCGTTCACGCAAAACAGCAAGAACCGGATTTCGGCACGTGACTCCGGTCTTTCCTAGTAGGTTTCCAATATCGAACGGTATTTTCGCATTTTCCGCTCTCATTGACGAACTCATCCGCTCTGTTTGCGTATTTTATATTTACTTTAGTCCCCGATAATTATACTCCTTTTATTCGTTTTGGTTCCCGTTTCAAGTCGTTATGTTCACCTGCTAACCTGAGAGAGGTGTTTGTTCCCATTTGTTGCGAGATTGACTTTGCCTCTTCAACATAACAGACTAACGCACTAGTTGCTGCTTGAAGTCTGACATCTTTTAATGTCTTGCGCCACCACCCCCCCCCCTGGTCAAATTGCAAGCATTTCTGACGGAGCTCACACGTGATGGGTGCCCGGTACTATGTGCTTGTTGCCTAATCGATTCGGTGATCGAGTAAACAGATCTCTTGGAGAATCCCAATGTGTCTCATCATGCGCGATTTGGTATCAAGGGTTACTGACATCTCTTCACGATCTTACTGTCAGTGGCTCGTCAAAACAGTTGTAACCGCAGAAACTGCCTTTTCGCTCTCTTACGGCAATACAAAAAACCGTCATAAGAAAGCAGTGAGCAGGACTTTCCCAGCCAAGTCTGTCAACGCAGGTCGTTAGTATCTCGGGACGGTTAAGCCCGTTTCTTAAGCTCCTACCTTATACCGTCTTGTAGCTTTTGAGGTCTCTTTCTTTATATGGTATTAATCCGGCACTATATTAGTATCATCTCGCCGAGTCCATGAGACAGAAGGATCACGGCTGGGATGTACAAGTGCATGATTTATACTCTTAACGTCCACAGTACACGTTTAGTTGGTCTGGATTTCGCTCCACATAAGATCCGAATGCCTTTCTATAGGTGTTTTCTGTTCTGGCTTCATAGAAGTTAATTTCCATAGAATGAGTTGATACGCTTAAATTCCTTTCTTATGAATGTGGAAATACATCTGACCGCTGATGGGTGCCAAACTTCGTAAAGTGTTCCTTTTGTCTCCTTAGTGTTTTGAGTTTCCGACCATTGCAGAGAAATAGAGTTTCCACCAAACAACAGAAGTCACAGATGGAATTGATTACATCGACAAATACTGAACATATTGTTGTACAATGCAGGCTCAAAGGGGAATCAGGAAGCTGCTTGGGATAAAGATCTTTGGGGGAGACGAATACATTCACGTGGTGTTACAAAGATGGATTTTAATTTCATGCAATCAGTTCCGTTTAATATTTTCATGAGAGCAAGAAGAAGCATCATGACCACAGGATGTGTTGAATTGAACTATTTCGTGGTAATCTCATCAGCTGTGTACCTACATTCGGATCACGCTTGGTTGAAAGAGTGACAGGTTTGGGGACAGGCGAACACACACGGGAAGCAGGAATCAATCAATACGAAGGCCAAAGGTCACTAATATGAATTTAATTTGTTTACTTTGTCTAAACGAATGAAAGGCAGATTGGGAATATATCTCAGAAAGAGTAGACAATGATCCCCGGGTAGATACGGGAGCACGGCAATAGAAGAGAAAGAAGAACTATTCAGGATGGTTTGTCATAATTCTGTCTAAAACTAAGTAACCTCTGGTCGATGAAACGCATAAATCGGTTAGATCAAAAGTACTGATAGGCTGGGTTCATGCTCGGTTAGAATCACCCACAATAATAGGCAGTTCATCCACTAACACTGGCACAGGATAAGGTAAAAATGAATCGAACTACGTCGAGGTAGTGTTTTGTGCACAAAATGAAGCAATATGTTTTTTATGAAGGTACTCCACAGTCCTCAGTACATGTATGGTCAGGTGTGAGTGTCTCGGGTTATGGCTGGTCACTCTTCTCTTGCACCTCGCCAAATGCTCCCATACGACCAAGCGTCTCGAATAGCTTCTGATGAGGAAGTTCCACTCACTGCCTTCTCGTGGCCGAAGTGTTTTCGCTCCAAAGTAAGGGGACGCAAAACCGACACTGGGGCTATAACCGGGTTGTTGAACCACTGGCAGTTCACCTAGGGGAGTTGACCGAAAACCCTGATTCCAAACCAACCAAGTTGAGGCGTACGAACCACATCCACACCTTTCCGGTTGTGGTCACCGGCTCAACTTGGTGTTGAGGTGCATTGGACACCTTGGACGTTTAACCCCGTCCGAAAGGTGTATGATCCGATTAACTGAATACCAGCTCCCATTGGATTGCGGTTTTCGCATACCGCCCCACTGCCTTACGGGTCAGGTTTTGGCTA